ATTTGGAGTCCAATCGCTCGGAGGAAGAGGAAGAGGAGAAGTAATGGCGAAGTGGGAGGAGTGGGGTGAGAGCCGTTGTAGTTCGGGAGAAGAAGAGAGAGGATCGTGCGTGAGGGAAGTGGGGATTGGAGGAAGCCGTGGCGGGCGGGGCCACTTGCCAGAGGGAGAGAGGGGCGTGGGGTAACTCCCTCGCGCGAGAGACGCTGAGATGCAACAACGAAATTCACTCGCGACGACTGGTGCAGATCGGACGGCTGTGCGGTCGTTCGGACATTTTGTCAATTCCAGAACGTTCACTCGTTACATTTGTCGCAAAATGAATGGTCAGATTGTTTTTTCTTAACCTTCTGCTCGACCTCATGTTCACTTTCTTCTCTGAACCAGTCAACGTACCACCTGCCGGCGGCTGGCGGCGCCCCCGCGCCTGCCTCGTCGCCTCACCCTTCCCCAAACGCCGCCCACCGCCGCGCTTGCACTGCCCTTGGTCATCCCCCTAACCTCGATCAACCTCCAGATTTTCCTGTCGAACCTGCACCCCTCCCTCCACCCTCAAGATAGATACCCGACGAGTCGGCCACCCTAACATAGACCTAGAGGCTGTTGCTTCACTGGCGAGCCGACGGCTGCTCCTTGTTGTTTCCTTCATCTGAAATCGTCTGACCCAGCTATCATTTCGAGTCGACTGACGTCCAGCTAAATTGCCTTTTTAAGCATCTATACTAGTGGTTAGCTCGCTGAACCTCGTTGGTTGCTGGATTAATGTGCTGAAAGGACGTGACACTGTTTGCATGCGCACCACCCTGAATAGAGCTAGTAGTACGTACCATGGTTGGTTTATTTTGCTGCCAATCGAGCAACATGTCTAGTCCTGTGAAAAACAACTGGCAGTAGCAAAAGACGTGCATGTCGTCAACCCGGGCACCCGTGCCAAAGCAAACGCTGCGCCCGGAGCTACATGGACAAGCTTCACGTTTCCCTCGGGTGAAAGTTGATAACTGGCATCTACTTGGGGCAGTAGCAGACTAGCAGTAGATGGAGTTGGTTGATCCAACGGTCCCAAACAACGTCCCAACTAACAGAACAAGCTTTGGCCTCTGATCCGTGTGACATGGACTCGTGTCTCTCCCAACCAAGACGTGGCAAGCAAGCCCCAATTAACTAGTTATCGGCCAGAGCTTAGCCGCGCCGCACATGGCGCTGCCAGGCCGCACGCCGACATCGCTCCTTCAAGGCGGCCGGCTCGAGCTGGCCGGCCGGAGTCGCCGCGGCGTTTATTGTTTCCGCTCCCATGCATCGTGTCCCAGCTGCATGCACAGCTGCAGTGCCCTGCATCGCACTCCACCCATGCACAATGCAGCACCGTCGCGTTGGTACGTACAGTGCTGTACAGGGAAGGGAAGGGAAGGGTGCATGGTGATGGTGGGTTGATGATGGACGGACGGTTGGATCTCCATTTAAGCGTCTCCACCCCCCTTGAATGCATTCAATGGGCTCCCCCCTCTCCACCGTTGGGTAGCTAGGCGATCGATCGACCGATCGAAGGCGGGCGATTGGCCTCGGCTGACCGCGCTGCTGGCTGGTTCTCCTTTGCTTGGGCCAGTTGGGCGCGCCCTGGTCGCTGGGTCGCCCAACGACCCCGGCGGCAATTTATGGCCCACCACCCCCCGCCCCCGTTTCTTCGTTCGTTCATCGGTCCAGACTCCAGAGCCCGGTCACTAACACTCACTACACACACGCAAAGAAATGAAAAGAAAATGAAAACACAAGGCTAGCTACCTCCCTCGGAGTACGTATATGCAGGTATCCTGCTGTAGATCGTAGTAGTACGGCATGCAGCTACAGCGGGACGCGCTGGCAGGCTACCAATAAATCGCCAGCCATCTCAACCAACTCTCAACACTGCACTGCTCCCATCGATAACCCACCACCTCTATAAAACCCTAGTCTCCCCCTGCCATCCTCCTGGCTCGCTTCCTCCATGTGGAGTCACTTATTACGCCCAGCCCAGCCCAGCCAGCACCTTAACTCGCCGATCCACCCCTTGGATCCACTCTACCCAGCTCGCTAGCCAGCGGGGTATATACACGCGCGTACGTACACTTGCAGAGCTTGCTTCAGGGAGGTCAGCCGGCAATGGAGGTGGGGACGTGGGCGGTGGTGGCGTCGGCGGTGGCCGCGTACATGGCGTGGTTCTGGCGGATGTCGCGCGGGCTGCGCGGGCCGCGGGTGTGGCCCGTGCTCGGCAGCCTGCCCGGCCTGGTGCAGCACGCCGAGGACATGCACGAGTGGATCGCCGGCAACCTGCGCCGCGCGGGCGGCACCTACCAGACCTGCATCTTCGCGGTGCCCGGGGTGGCGCGCCGCGGCGGGCTGGTCACCGTCACCTGCGACCCGCGCAACCTGGAGCACGTCCTCAAGGCGCGCTTCGACAACTACCCCAAGGGCCCCTTCTGGCACGGCGTCTTCCGGGACCTGCTCGGCGACGGCATCTTCAACTCCGACGGCGACACCTGGCTCGCGCAGCGCAAGACGGCCGCGCTCGAGTTCACCACCCGCACGCTCCGGACCGCCATGTCCCGCTGGGTCTCGCGCTCCATCCACGGCCGCCTCCTGCCCATCCTGGCCGACGCGGCCAAGGGCAAGGCGCAGGTGGATCTCCAGGACCTCCTCCTCCGCCTCACCTTCGACAACATCTGCGGCCTGGCGTTCGGCAAGGACCCGGAGACGCTCGCCCAGGGCCTGCCGGAGAACGAGTTCGCCTCCGCGTTCGACCGCGCCACCGAGGCCACGCTCAACCGCTTCATCTTCCCGGAGTGCCTGTGGCGCTGCAAGAAGTGGCTGGGCCTCGGCATGGAGACCACGCTGACCAGCAGCATGGCCCACGTCGACCAGTACCTCGCCGCCGTCATCAAGAAGCGCAAGCTCGAGCTCGCCGCCGGCAACGGCAAATGCGACACGGCGGCGACGCACGACGACCTGCTCTCCCGGTTCATGCGGAAGGGATCCTACTCGGACGAGTCGCTGCAGCACGTGGCGCTCAACTTCATCCTCGCCGGCCGCGACACCTCCTCCGTGGCGCTCTCCTGGTTCTTCTGGCTCGTGTCCACCCACCCTGCGGTGGAGCGCAAGATCGTGCGCGAGCTCTGCTCCGTTCTCGCCGCGTCACGCGGCGTCCACGACCCGACATTGTGGCTGGCGGAGCCCTTCACCTTCGAGGAGCTCGACCGCCTGGTCTACCTCAAGGCGGCGCTGTCGGAGACCCTCCGCCTCTACCCCTCCGTCCCCGAGGACTCCAAGCACGTGGTCGCGGACGACTACCTCCCCGACGGCACGTTCGTGCCGGCCGGGTCGTCGGTCACCTACTCCATATACTCGGCGGGGCGCATGAAGGCGGTGTGGGGGGAGGACTGCCTCGAGTTCCGGCCGGAGCGATGGCTGTCGGCCGACGGCACCAAGTTCGAGCAGCATGACTCGTACAAGTTCGTGGCGTTCAACGCCGGGCCGAGGGTGTGCCTGGGCAAGGACCTAGCCTACCTGCAGATGAAGAACATCGCCGGGAGCGTGCTGCTCCGGCACCGCCTGACCGTGGCGCCGGGCCACCGCGTGGAGCAGAAGATGTCGCTCACGCTCTTCATGAAGGACGGGCTACGGATGGAGGTACGTCCGCGCGACCTCGCCCCCGTCCTCGACGAGCCCTGCGGCCTGGACGCCGGCGCCGCCGCCACCGCCGCCGCAGCGAGTGCCACAGCGCCATGCGCGTAGAAGACCTGGCACTGGCACGGGCACGCGCCATGCATGATTCGTGTGTGCTAGCTGTTGAAGGGACGCCGGACATTGAATGTGTAGATAGGGCAGCAGTGCAAGACCGTAAGTAAAATTGATGATGGGTTTGGTGACAACATTCAAGTCACTCCTTTCCAGAATTTACGACCCGGATAGGAGAAACAGGGAAACTTTGCAGATCACAACACAAGATCTAGCCAGCCGGGGATCTGATCGATCTGTGTCTGCTCAGAGCACGGGTGCATGGGAGACCAAGGAGGAAAGCATAAAATAACAGAAACTGAGTGAGCAATATTTGTGATTGTAGCCACGGGAGAGAGAGAGGAGTAATTAGTAATTCAGATTTGTTTGCAGTAGCTCGGTGTTGGTGACCAGATCATAGCCAACTAGGCTATTCTATTCTATTCTATTCTATTTTTGGAGATGATTTTTCAAAGCCGTGTACCCTTATTCTATTCTTAGAGAGTTCATATCCTATCCATGAAACTTGTAAGTAGACTTTGCAGTAGACGTGCTCAAGGTTGTTTGCTTCTTTGACACCATGTTCATCCATGACAAGTTTCTTCTTTAGTGGTCTGATTCGCTGCAGTACGTTTCTAGCTTCTCTAGCTAGCTAACCTTGGTGCTGGATCTGCATGCGATGACATTGACTCTCGTGCATGCATGTATCGGTGCCTTGATGAGGTCTGTTGCGCGCGCCGTCCGATCTGGTGAGGGATAGCAACCAAGAATCTCAGGTGCGTAAAAGCAAGTTTGATGTGGATGGCTCCCAACATCAACATGCACATATTTGGCAGCCGTTCTCTCTGGCCTGCAGGCTCGTCCTCATGCACTCTCTCTAATTGTCGTTCTTACGACAGCGATGGGATCGCGCGATACGAGAAAAAGGAACTGAAGTTGACGCGGTACGATTTCGACGGGTGTTTGTTGGCATGGTTGGTTCGTTTGATGCAACGATTTTAATCTACCTCCAGCTACCTTATGTTCAGAGTGTTATTGTGACTTGATTTGATCGACGGAATTATACCCCACATCGGTATCAGTATTTCTTTTTTTACTAAATGATCCTACGAGAAACTTTAATCCGCTCATTGACCCCCCTGAAAAACCTTTTTTTTGTGGGAAATACTTTTGTATTACTTTTGTGTTTCATTGACAACCCCTTTAACGCGTTGGGTGCAAGTGTTTGATTGTTTGTCCTTTCACGGTCACTTGCAAAAGTGAAATCTGATAGAGATAGATAAATCTAAACAAAAGATAAAGTATATTTTTTGGGTTTTTTGGTTTATAGATCAGAAATTAAAAGATAGCAAAATAGTAGATCGGAAACTTATATGATGGAAAATAGACCAGGGGGCCATAGGTTTCACTAGAGGCTTCTCTCAAGATAGCAAATAATACGGTGGGTGAACAAATTACCGTCGAGCAATTGATAGAAAAGCGCAAAGTTATGACAATATCTAAGGCAATGATTATGAAATATAGGCATCACGTCCATGTCAAGTAGACCGACTCCTACCTGCATCTACTACTATTACTCCACACATCGACCGACTCCTGCCTGCATCTAGAGTATTGAGTTCATGAAGAACACAGTAACGCTTTAAGTAAGATGACATGATGTAGAGGAATAAACTCAAGCAATATGATGTAAACCCCATCTTTTTATCCTCGATGGCAACAATACAATACGTGACTTGCTGCCCCTACTGTCACTTGGAAAGGACACCACAAGATTGAACCCAAAGCTAAGCACTTCTCTCATTGCAAAAAAAAAACCAATCTAGTTGGCCAAACTAAACCGATAGTTCAAAGAGAATTACAAAGATATCAAATCATGCATATAATAATTCAGAGAAGATTCAAATAGTATTCACAGATAAGCTGATCATAAATCCACAATCCATTGGATCTCGACAAACGCACTGCAAAAGAAGATTACATTGGATAGATCTCCAAGAAAATCAAGGAGAACATGGTATTGAGAATCAAAGAGAGAGAAGAAGCCATCTAGCCACTAGCTATGGACCCTTAGGTGTGTGGTAAACTACTCACGCTTCATCGGAAGCGCAATAGAGTTTATTTAGAAGCCCCCATGGTCAAATCCCCCTTCGGTAGGATGCCGGAAAAGGCCCCAAGATGGGATATCACGGGAACAGAAGGTTGAGGCAGTGGAAAAGTGTTTTCTTGGATGCTTCTGGTGGTTTGGGAATATATGTGAATATATAGGAGGAAGATCTAGGTCAGGGGGTCACCGAGGGGCCCACAAGGTAGGGGGCACGCCCTACCCCCTGGGCGCGGCCTCCACCCTTGTGGCCACCTCGTGGTTCTTCTGACTTGCAATCCAAGTCTCCTGGGTGTCTTCTGGTCCAAGAAAAATCATCGCAAAGGTTTTATTCCATTTGGACTATGTTTGGTATTCCTTTTCTATGAAGCTCAAAAACAAGGAAAAAACAGAAACTTGCACTCGGCTCTAGGTTAACAGGTTAGTCCCAAAAATAATATAAAATAGCATATTAATGCATATAAAACATCCAAAACAGATAATATAATAGCATGGAACAATAAAAAATTATAGATATGTTGGAGACGTATCAAGCATCCCCAAGCTTAATTCGTGCTCCTCCTTGAGTAGGTAAATGATAAAACAGAATTTTTGATGTGGAATGCTACCTAGCATATTTATCCATGTAATTTTTATTTATTGTGGCATGAATGTTCAGATCCATAAGATTCAAAACAAAAGTATAATATTGACATAAAAACAATAATACTTCAAGCACACTAACAATGCAATTATGTCTTCTCAAAATAACATGGCCAAAGAAAGCTATCCCTACAAAATCATATAGTCTGGCTATGCTCCATCTTCATCACACAAAATATTCAAATCATGCACAACCCCGATGACAAGCCAAGCAATTGTTTCATACTTTTGGTGAACTCATTCTTTTGGTGAACACATAAATCACCACTTTTTGTACTATTGTGAACTCATTCTTTATTTATATTGGTGTAATATATACTGTATTCCAACTTCTCCATGGTTCATACCCCCCGTACTACCCATAGATTCATCAAAATAAGCAAACAACACATAGAAAACAGAATCTGTCAAAAACAGAATAGTCTTATGTAACTCCAAAATTCTGAAAAATTAGGACAAGAGAGGAAAATTTATACCAATCTTATGTAAAAAGAATTAGTATTTTATCATGTTTCTGTGATTTTTAACAATTCTAGGACTGAGCGCAAAAGTTTCTGTTTTTCAGCAAGATCAAATCAACTATCACCGTAAGCTATCCCAAAGATCTTACTTGACACAAACACTAATTAAAACACAAAAACACATCTAACCAGAGGTTAGATGAATTAATTATTGAATAATAGCAAGGAAAAATATTGGGTTGTCTCCCAACAAGCGCTTTTCTTGAAAGCCTTTTAGCTAGGCATTGATAATTTTAATGATGGTCACATGAAAGATAGCAATTGAAACACGAAGAGAGCATCATGTGAAAAACAAGTTTAAGTATAACATAATTCATATGCATTGGCATTTTATAGGCAAACAAATAATCAAGACAAGCAAAACCTAGCATATGTAAGGAAGAAGAAAGAAACAATAGCAATCACAACAAAACAAGAGGTAATTTAGTAACATGAAAATTTCTAAAACCATATTTTCCTTTGTCATAATAATTACATGTGGAATCATACTCAAACTCAACAATATAGCTATCACATAACATATTCTCAACATGATCCACATGCATGCAAAGTTGACACTCTTCCAAAATAGTGGGATTAACATTAACTAAAGTCATGACCCCTCCAAACCCACTTTTATCAAAAAATTCATAACATTGATCATACTCCAAAGTAGTGGGATCATTATTACCTAGACTTGACATTATTCCAAACCCACTTTCAATATTATTGCCAACATAGTCATCATGAGGCTTAAATCAATTTTCAAGATCATAAGAAAAATCACCCCAATCATGATCATTGCAACAAGTAGTGGACATAGCAAAATTTGCATCCCCAAGCTTAAGGTTTTGCATATTATTAGCATAATTGACATAGAATTTGTAATAACATCATTGCAATCATGCTTTTTATTCAAAGATCTATCGTGAATCACTTCATAAAGCACTTCATCACAATTTTAGATTCACGGATTTCAAGCAAAACATCGTAAAGATAATCTAGTGCGCTCAAATCACTAGCAATTGGTTCATCATAGTTGGATCTTTTAAAAATATTAGCAAGTGGATGAGGATCCATAAAATCTTTGCTTCTGATCTTCAATAAACACACAATTATACCAAGTAAACGAGCAAACAAACCAAGTAAGACATAAGGGTAAATGAAAAGATGAACAAAAGAAGGCAAATAAAAAGGCAAATCTTTTCAAAAATCATTTTAGAAGTGGGGGAGTGGAAAACAAGAGGAAAATGGCGAATAATGCAATGCAAGAGATGAGAGTTTTATGATGGGTACTTGGTATGTCTTGACTTGGCGTAGATCTCCCCGGCAACGGCGCCGGAAATTCTTCCTGCTATGATACGTCCATTTTGCATCATGCTTTTATATTGATATTTATTGCATTATGGGTTGTTATTACACATTATGTCACAATACTTATGCCTTTTCTCTCTTATTTTACAAGGTTTACATGAAGAGGGGGAATGCCGGCAGCTGGAATTCTGGGCTGGAAAAGGAGCAAATATTAGAGACCTATTCTGCACAGCTCCAAAAGTCCTGAAACTTCACGGAAGTTATTTTTGGAATTAATAAAAAATACTGAAGAAAGAATCCACCAGAGGGGGCCCACACCTTGGCCATGAGGGTGGGGCGCGCCCTACCACCCTGGGCGCGCCCCCTGCCTCGTGGGCCCCCTAACAGGCCTCCGGTGCCCATCTTCTGCTATATGAAGTCTTTCGTCCGAGAAAAAAAAATCATAAGCAAGCTTTCAG